GCCTGTCTCCCTCACTCCCTGTCCCCCTCACCGCCTGTCCCTCCCACTGCCTGTCCCTCCCACTGCCTGTCCCTCCCGCTGCCTGTCCCCCCACTGCCTGTCCCTCCCACTGCCTGTTCCCCCCACTGCCTATCCCTCCCACTGCCTGGGAGCTCCCCAAGGGGCCTGGGGCACTGGGGGGCGACCCAGGGGGTTGCTGAGCTAATCTGGACACACATGTCCAGTGCTCCCCCGCTGTCCCTCTTCCCTCTGTCCCTTCTGTTAAATCCTGGAAGAGTGGGAGGCCTTCTCCACACCTCCTCCAACCTCACTGGTGCCACACCCTGGAACCAACCTTCCCCAGATCTCCCACTTCCTGGGAACTAACCCCAGCCATCTGTCCTGTGTATCTAGCTCCCTCCTGGATACCCCATTCCCAACATCCCCAAAGAACAGCTTGCCCCAAAGTCAGATCAGTCTTTGCCCCCAAAGCAGCCTCCTGGAGTGACCTTTGGCTTTCCTGTTGTTCTCCGCAGACATCCGGCAGGGGCCCTGCTTTGCCGAGGCGCTGCAGGCTATGTGCCAGGCTCTGTCCAGCAGCAGCGAGGCTGTCACCAGGGCCGAGTGCTGCTGTGGGGGTGGTCGGGGCTGGGGGCCCCGCTGCGAGCTCTGTCCCCTGCCTGGCACCTCCGCCTACAGGAAGCTGTGCCCCCACGGCTCAGGCTACACCGCTGAGGGCCGAGGTGGGTGCCCATGCCCTCAGGACCCTCAGGGAGGCAAGAAGCGGGGGAATTTGCTCAGGGTCATGCGTCTGTACTGCAGCAGGTGCTAGAATGTGTGAGCCACTCTGTGTGCGTGTATGTTTGTGTGTGTGTGTGTGTCTTTGTGCTAGCAGATATGAGAACCAGTACATGTGCTCCATATGTGTGGAAGAACTCGGGGGGTTGAGGGAGCAGGTGTGTGAGTCAGAGTGTGTGTGTGTGTGTGTGTGTGTGTGTGTGTTCTGAGACAGAGTCTTGCTTTGGTACCCAGGCTGGAGTACGGTGCAATCTCAGCTCACTGCAACCTCTGCCTCCCAGTGGCATACCTGTCATCCCAGCACTTTGGGAGGCTGAAGCTGGAGGATTGCTTAAGCTTAACCCCAGGAATTTGGGGCTGCAATGAGCTAAGATAGTGCTACTGCACTGCAGCCTGGGCGACAGAGCGAGACTTTGTCTCAAAAAACAGAAACAAAATAGACAGGGCACAGTGGCTCACGCCTGTAATCCCAGCACTTTGGGAGGCTGAGGCGGGCAGATCACCTGAAGTCTGGAGTTCAAGACCACCCTGGTCAACATGGTGAAACCCCGTCTCTACTAAAAATACAAAAAAATTAGCTGGATGTGGTGGCTGTCGCCTGTAGTCCCAGCTACTTGGGAGGCTGAGGCCGGAGAATGGCGCGAACCCCGGAGGCAGAGCTTGCAGTGAGCCGAGATTGCGCCACTGCACTCCAGCCTGGGCAACAGAGCGAGGCTCCATCTCAAAAAAAAAAAAAAAAAAAAAGAGGGCTTAGCCAGACCCAAAGGGGCCCTTTGAGGCCATGGGAGAGGCTGGCTCTGGGGCCTGGGGCTCTGGGGACAGCCAGCCTCTCCTACAGCCAGTAAAGATGAGGTTTTGCCATGTTGGCCAGGCTGGTCTCAAACTCCTGGCCTCAAGTGATCCACCCACCTCAGCCTCCCAAAATGCTGGGATTACAGGCATGAGCTACCACGCCTGTCCCACTGTGTGTTTTTTGTGAGAGCTTGTTCTGGACTGTGTGGGAGCCGGTGTGTGTCTGTGTGTGTCAGCTGGGTGAGAAGTATACACCGTGTTCACCTGTGAAGTAGAAGGCAGTGAGAGGGAGCCAGCGGCCTGTGTGTCGTGGGCTTGGGTGAGTGTACAAGGGCAGGTGTGTGAGTGTCTGCGTGTGAGCCAGTGTGGGGACATCAGCGTGTCTCACTGAGTGTGTCACTGAGAGTGAGATGGGTTATCCATGTGACCAGCAGTGACATCAATAGGACTGGGGAGGAAATGGCTTTCTGGGGGTGTGTCTGGGGGGAGACGCGGGAGTCCCTGAGTGTGGGTGTATGTTCCCGTGTTTCTGCAGGAGCATCGGGTGTGTGGCTGTTGTGTCATGTTGCATGCACTGTGTGTCTCTGTTGTGCATGTTGGTGCACTGAGGAGGTGTCGCTGTTGAGGCCGGGGGAGGTGGATGTGTGTCCCCCTCCCTGGGAAGCTTCATGGGCTTGTCCTGCGGGCTCAGGTGTCATCCGCAGCCTGAGGATGGGGTCCACGTGGGCTGGGGTGCAGTGGCGGGTGTAGAAGGCAGGCTGGACTTTGCTCCGAGGAGATGGCTGCGGCCAGAGAGGAGACATGCCTCGATGGCCCAAGGCGGCCAGCCAGCCCCATTTGCGCCCTGCTTTTCCCCAGATATAGATGAATGCCGTATGCTTGCTCACCTGTGTGCCCATGGAGAGTGCATCAACAGCCTCGGCTCCTTCCGCTGCCACTGTCAGGCCGGGTACACACCAGATGCTACTGCTACCACCTGCCTAGGTGAGCCCAGCCCTCTGCACCTGCACCCTTGGCCCAGCCCAGCCACCTCCTGCACAGCCCCTGACTACAACTTCCCTGAGACTTTGCAGTTTGTAATGTTAGGGTTTCATTTACAAAGTGGTGCCCGAGCCATACAGACAACTGAAGTCCAGGTGCAATGGCCCGCTACTGTAATCCCAGTATTTTGGGAGGTCGAGGTGGGAGGATCACTTGAGGCCAGGAGTTTCAGACCAGCCTGGGCAACATAGCAAGACCCTATCACTAAAAAAAATTAGCCAGGAATGGTGGCCTGTAGTCCAACATGCGCCTGTAGCCCCAGCTACTTGGGGAGGCTGCTTGAGCTCAGGAGTCTGAGGCTTCCGTGAGCTGTGATTGCACCACTGCAGTCCAACCTGGGTGACAGAGTGAGACCCTGTCTCTTAAAAAATGAAAAAGAAAGCTGGGCGCAGTGGCCCATGCCTGTGATCCCAGCACCTTGGGAGGCAGAGGCAGGTGGATCACGAGGTCAGGAGTTCAAGACCAGCCTGGCCAAGATGGTAAAACTCCATCTCTACTGAAAATGCAAAAAAAATGGCCAGGCATGGTGGCACACACCGGTAATCCCAGCTACTCCGGAGGCTGAGGCAGAGAATTGCTTAAACCTGGAGGGGTGGAGCTTGCAGTGAGCTGAGATCATGCTAGTGCTCTCCAGCCTGGGCGACAGAGCGAGACTCTGTCTGAAAAACAAAAAAACAAAAACAGGCCACGCATGGTAGCTCATGCTTATAATCCCAGCACTTTGGGAGGTCACGGTGGGCACATCATTTGAAGCCAGTATTTCAAGACCAGCCTGGCCAAGATGGTGAAACCCCATCTACTAAAAATACAAAAATTAGCTGCACGTGCTTGTGCACGCCTATAATCCCAGCTACTTGGGAGGCTAAGGCAGGAGAATCGTTTGAACCCGGGAAGTAGAGGTTGTAGTGAGCTGAGATCATGCCACTGCACTATAGCCTGGGCAACAGAGTGAGACTCTGTCAAGAAAGAGAGAAAGAAAGAGGAAGAAAGGAAGGAAGAAAGAGGAGAAAGGAAAGGGAAGGGAAGGGAAGGAAAGAAAGGAAGGAGAAAGAGAAAAAAGAAGAGAGAGAAAGAAAGAAAAGAAAAGAAAGAAAAAAGAACAAGAAGGGAGAAAGAAAGGAAGAAAGAAGGAAAGAGAGAAAGAGAAAGAAAGAAAACAAAAGAAAGGGAAGGGAAGGAAAGGAAGGAAGGAGAAAGAAAAAAGAAGAGAGAGAAAGAAAAGAAAAAAGAAAGAAAGAAAAGAGGGGAAGGAAGGGAAAGAAGGCCAGGTGAGGTGGCTCAGGCCTGTATTCCCAGCACATTTTGGGAGGCTGAGGCAGGAGGATCACTTGAGGCCAGGAGTTTGAGACCAGCCTGACCAACATTGTGAAACCATCCCTACTAAAAAAAGAAAAAGAAAAAGAAAAAAATTAGCCAGGTGTGGTAGTATATGCTGGTAATGCCAGCTGCTTGGGAGGCTGAGGCAGGAGAATTGTTTGAACATGGGATGCGGAGGTTGCAGTGAGCCAAGATTGCACCATTGCATTCCAGCCTGGGTGATGCAGCGAGAGTCCGTCTCAAGAAAGAAAGAGAGGAAGGAAGGAAGGAAGGGAGGGAGGGAGGGAGCATCCTTTCCTTCTCCCACCCCCATCCCATTTGGGCCACTTTCCTGCTGTTATTTCTTCCTTTTATTTTGCACATCCTGAGATTTTTCAGCTACGTTTTGTAGCAAGTGTACATCTAAGTCAGCAGGAGGTAAACCCCAGCCTGAGGGTCAAATCTGGCCCTCCAATTGTTCTTGTCAATAAAGTTTTATTAGCACACAGCCATACACATTTGTGTGCTTACCCTCAGTGGCTGCTTTGCTGGTACAAAGGCCACATGGAGTAGTTGTGCCCGAGATGATGTGGCCTGCAAAACCAAATGTGTTTACCATCTGGCTTTTTGCAGAAAAAGTGTTAATTCGTGTGTAAGCCCACAGATTCCGGATGGTCCAGGTCTGGGTGGAGACCCCAGTCCCTCAACACCCCCAGGGAATGTCTGTCTAACCCCGCCCCACCACACCCCGCTGTCCTTCCCTAGATGTGGACGAGTGCAGCCAGGTCCCCAAGCCGTGTACCTTCCTCTGCAAAAACACAAAGGGCAGCTTCCTATGCAGCTGTCCCCGAGGCTACCTGCTGGAGGAGGATGGCAGGACCTGCAAAGGTGATGTCCTTTCAACTCTCCCCCACTCCCGCCACTGCATGCACTCTAGGGCCCTGCTCCTGTTCCCTGCAATCTCACCCTCTCCCATCTGCATGGAGTCAAGCACCATCTCCGGGATCTTTCTCTTGTCATCCCTCTGCCTGGAGGTAGCAGGGGCAGCCCCTGGGAAGCCCCTAACCCCCAACTGGGCCCTGCCCTGAGCCTGCTGGACTATCTGTGCTGCAGACCTGGATGAATGCACCTCCCGGCAGCACAACTGTCAGTTCCTCTGTGTCAACACTGTGGGCGCCTTCTCCTGCCGCTGTCCACCCGGCTTCACCCAGCACCACCAGGCCTGCTTCGGTGAGTGACCCTTGCCCCTCACCGGGAGGTGATGCACAACCCCAGCCTTAGTTATTGTGCTCACCAAGAAAATATCAAGTTGGCCGGGCACAGTGGCTCCTGCCTGTAATCCCAGCACTTTGGAAAGCCGAGGCGGGCGGATCACCTGAGGTCAGGAGTTCAAGACCAGCCTGGCCAATATGGTGAAACCCCGTCTCTACTAAAAATACCAAAAAAAAATAGCCTGGAATGGTGGCAGGTGCCTGTAATCCCACCTACTAGAGAGGCTGAGGCAGGAGAATCGCTTGAACCCAGGAGGCAGAGGTTGTGGTGAGCCAAGATCACGCCACTGCACTCCAGCCTGGGCAACAAGAGCGAAACTCCGGCCGGGCGCGGTGGCTCAAGCCTGTAATCCCAGCACTTTGGGAGGCCGAGACGGGCGGATCACAAGGTCAGGAGATCGAGACCATCCTGGCTCACACGGTGAAACCCCGTCTCTACTAAAAAATACAAAAAAAAAACTAGCCGGGCGTGGTGGCGGGCGCCTGTAGTCCCAGCTACTCGGGAGGCTGAGGCAGGAGAATGGCGTGAACCTGGGAGGCGGAGCTTGCAGTGAACTGAGATCCGGCCACTGCACTCCAGCCTGGGCGACAGAGCGAGACTCCGTCTTGGAAAAAAAAAAAAAAAAAGAGCGAAACTCTGTCTCAGAAAAAAAAAAAAAAAGCACCCAACATGTACTGGACATTGGGAACATGGGGGTGATCATAACAAAGTCCTTACTTCCTCAGTGCTTGCTTCCTGGAGGCATCTAGAACCTCCTTCCTCTCCTTTGGGAGGAGAGAGGCCCTCTGGCCTTGGCTTATGGCACCTTGCCTTCCCCCTGACAAGTGCCTGCTGGGTCTCCCTCCCAGAGCCTCCCCAGAGCGCTCCTGAAATCCCAGGTCTCACATAGTCCCAAGAGGAAATCAGTTCCACAGCTAAAGTCACAAGAGCATCTACTACCATCATTGTTTCTTAGTGTCTTGTGGCTCCCAGGGAACCCAATCTTCCCCAAAGCCAGAGCCTAGTCAAGGGTGGCGCCATTCATGCTCCAACTAATCTGCCCAGACGGCACCTACTGTGTACCAGGCAGTGCTCCAGACCAAAGGGTGGCAAACTCCAGCCTGCCAGCCAAGCCCGGCCCCCTGCTTGCTTTTGTTAATAAAGTTTTATTGACACACAGCCAAGCCCACTTGCTTACAATCACCTGTGGCTGCTTTTGCACTATATTGGCAGAGAAGAGTCTTGGGACAGAGCCTGTTACAGAAACAGAAATGGTTTGTCAGGCCCTGTTATAGACCCTGGGGGGACAGCAACAAACATAAGAGGCAGGACTCTTTCGTCATGGAACTTTCCTTCTGGCACAGAATCAGACTAGAAGCAGACATAACAAGAAACTAACAGAATGGTGTGGCTGGGGGTGGTAGCTCATGCCTGTAACCCCATCACTTTGGGAGGCTGAGGCTGGCAGATCACTTGAGGACAGAAATTCGAGGCCAGCCTGGCCAACATGACAAAACCCCGACTCTACTAAAAATACAAAAATTACCTGGGCGTGGTGGTGGCGCCTGTAATCCCAACTACTCAGGAGGCTGAGGCAAGAGAATCACTTGAACCTGGGAGGTGAAGGTTGCAGTGAGTCAAGATTGTGCCACCGCACTCCAGCCTGGAGGACACAGCAAGACTCTGTCTCAAAAACAAACAAACAGAAAATTAACAGAATAGCGTGCTCAAAGGTGATGCGTGTCATGAAAGAAAGAAAAAATAAAAGCAGGAGTTCAGGAAAGAAGGAGAGGACCGCAGGGCTGTTTTGGGAGGCAGGGAGAGATTTGTTGTTGTTGGGTTTTGGTTGTGTTGTGTTGTGTTGTGTTGTTTGTTTGTTTGTTATAGAAATGGAGTCTTGCTCTGTCACCCAAGCTGGAATACGTGATATGATCACAGCGCACTGCAACCTCAAATTCCTGGGCTCAAGCAATCTTCCCACTGCAGCTTCCCTAGTACTTGGGACTACAGGCTCACCACACCTGGATTTTGTTTTTGTTTTTTGTTTCTTAGAGATGGAGTCTCTTCATGATTCTGTTTCCCGGGCTTGAGTACAGTGGCTATTCACAAATGTGATCATAGCACACTGAAGCCTCAAACTCCTGGTGTCAAGTGATCCTCCCACCTCAGCCTCTAGAGAGGGCTTCGGTTGTGTTTTTTTTGTTTGTTTGTTTGTTTTTTGTTTTGAAACAGAGTCTCGCTCTGTCGCCCAGGCTGGAGTGCAGTGGCCGGATCTCAGCTCACTGCAAGCTCCACCTCCCGGGTTTATGCCATTCTTCTGCCTCAGCCTCCCGAGTAGCTGGGACTACAGGTGCCCGCCACCTCGCCCGGCTAGTTTTTTGTATTTTTTAGTAGAGATGGGGTTTCACCGTGTTAGCCAGGATGGTCTCGATCTTCTGACCTCGTGATCTGCCCGTCTCGGCCTCACAAAGTGCTGGGATTACAGGCTTGAGCCACCACGCCCGGCCAGGGCTTTAGTTTTAAGAGAGGGATCAGGGCCGGGCGCGGTGGCTCAAGCCTGCAATCCCAGCACTTTGGGAGGCCGAGACGGGCGGATCATGAGGTCAGG